TTTTGCCTTCTCGGGGCTAAGCTTTGCCCCAATCTTACGAAAGACTAAGCTCTGTCTTGTTTCGCTTCTTATATGGCCCGACCTCATGTCTTTGCATCTCATGGGCTGAAATATTGCCATTTTGTCCAAAGGCGTCATAGTTCGAAGGCATCATCCTCATAGCCTGAAGACACCATGTCAAGGCCTGAGGATCTCTCAATATTGCACATCATTACTCAAAGGCGTCATAGTTCAGAGGCACCATTCTCATGGACCGAGAACATCATTTCTGGCCTGTGAATCCCTTATCACGTGATTCATGGCCCTGGACATCATGGTCTAAGGACATCATCCTCACCGTCCAAAGACAACCTTCATGGTCCAAAGGGAATTTACATCATGTTTAAATTCTCGCAATAATCTATATATTTGCATGTATCGAGTTTTAAGTTTTGCAGGTAAACCAGGAAGAAACCGTTCTTTAAACGGGAGCAATCTTCGCTCCGATTTCCGTTCATAACGTTCACATTCTGCAAGTGTTTTAAACATAACCGACCTTTATCATTTCACGCTTCTTACTCTATAGCTATTCAGATACTTGCTCTATAACACATCCGTTACGTTTCAGATTCACATTCACAACTCCGCAAAATCCATCCGATATTATCCTTCCAAAAGAACCTTTTCCGAAACGTACAACCATTCCTATAACAACTCCATCGGTTTCGTTCATCGTTGGATCCAGAACTACACATGGCATGATTCCTATAAAACCAGGGATATGTAGGCAACTCAGAAACCAGAGTTCAACCTTTATTTTTAAAATAATTAAATTCGGTCAAAATAGGTCATCATTTCTTTACCCGATAATTCTTTTATCATTCCCGGGTAAAGAAGGGCAGCTTGTGATACCCAATTTTTCCCTCATATTTAAGTTGTATATATATACTTCCAAAATAGTGTATTTTCATCATCATTTAGTTTATGAACCTATACATGCATTTTACATAATTTTCAATAATTTTTAAAGGTTTTAAATCAATGTCTTTCTATATTTTATTGTATCAATACCCAATAATTATCCTTCAAATTGATTTTATGGTGATTTAATCATCCAAACTCATCATTTATACTACCATGTACGTTTTTAAATATTTTACTGTATTTTTTATAATTACATTTATATTTTTAGGCTAATTGCATATTTTTGAAATATTAGTCTACATTCATGCATAATCACATTAATTATGCAAAAACTATTTTTTATATTTTTATAATGTTAACTTACTATTTTTAATCATTTTAGTGCACAAATAATATTTTTTGTATTTATTAATTATTATTATAAATTATTTCTTGCTAAATATTCGGTATTTAAAAACTAGCCTAAATTCCTACTCAATTTCGGACCTAATAACCCAGCCCAATTACCCTATACATTAATCCAATTACCCAGGCCTAAAACAAACCCCCTTTATTTTAACCCAACCGGTAACCCATTTACATGACCCGCCCCAGTACCATTTTAAGATCCTGGCCGTTGATCTCTAAGACCAACGGCCTACAATTAACCTACCCCTTTTAATTACCCCCCTTTCACCCAAAACCGTAACCCATTTGCCCCTTTATCCGCCGCCCTTGAATTCTCTCAAACTCCCCTCTCTCTCTGTCAAACCCTAGCGCCGTAACCCCTAATCCTAGGGGTGTGCATTCGAATCGGTTTATCGATAAATCGAATTGATTATTTGTTATCGAAATCGAAATCAAAAAAATCGAAACCTTATTGAAACGATAACGATAAGCATATTTACAAATCGATAATCGATAAGTAATTATCGATAAGGGTCAAAATCGAATCGATAAATCGAATGCACACCCCTAGACTATAGACACTTGTTAAATGAGTAATTACCTATTTGTGTAGATTAATATAACATACAAAATGTATATATATTCCGCTACTATTTTGAAAGCGGCTATACAATATTATTTTCCCTAATCTATACCCTTTCCTTTACCCTAAGTCCCTTACCCTATTATTTCCTCTACCACATTTAAGGAACGATCATATTTAAAGATCAAGGGAATGAAGTTCAAATTAATGAAAAACAGAATTAGCCATGATGATGTGTTTTGTTTTGTTTTGTTTTTTATACCGTTGGAGTGTTGGTGGCATACATTTGATCCCTTACTTTAGTTTTGTTGCATGTGCTTGTTGACATAATTTTTATATTATAAATGGTGTTCGTCTTATATTAGCTTCTTTTTCTCCATATTAGTTAGGCGCATTTATAGCGATATACTTTCCGTGGAATCCCGCAAATTTTCTTATTGGTGTAATCGATAACCGAATCGATAAGCCCCCAAAATCGATAAATCGAAATCGAAAAAATCGAAACCTTATTGAAACGATAACAATAAGCATATGTACAAATCGATAATCGATAAGTAATTATCGATAAGGGTCAAAATCGAATGCACACCCCTACCTAATCCTCTCCGATTTAGGCTCAAACATGGAATCAATCCATGATTTACTTACCTATTTTGTGATACTCTATCGTTATATGCATGATTTTGGCATCACTTAGTTCTTTCCCTATTGTTGGCAAGAACTACCTCGCAAGACCGGGCCGATTCACTTTGATTCTATGAAGATCTGGATGATCTTCTGTCTCTATACATGTTATATTGAACGGTCTTTGTATTTTTAGTCCGATTCAAGGATCAGTCTGAACTAGGGTTTGATATTTTCCCCTTATTCGTTACTGATTTCTGATTGATACTTTTCTCTTTCTTGTGTTTGACTAATATTTTCCTTATTTTGCTTAACCCGCTGTATTTTCCCTATTTTTCAATTTTACATACCTTAAAACAAACTCTAATTGATTTTCATATGCTATTTTCCTTATTCTCTGTTGAACCTGTTGTATTTCCATATTTTGAGTACTACTTGATTCTCGCATGTCATTTTTTGTCCCTTGTTTAAATCACCGAACTTCCTTATTCTATGTGTTAGATGCCCTAAGATTGATTCTGATTGATTCTAGTGTATCTTTCCCTATTTTTGTTTGAATACTTTGTTTCCATGTTTAACTGTCTGATTTCTACTATATAAACCCCTCTCAGAAGAAATTCTAGGACCCCGGACTTTGACTATTGTTTTTGTGAGACCCCATGTGTTTTTTTTAACGTAATATACGTAAAGTGGCGTGGTTATATTAGGTATATATGATTGGGTATAGCACATTGGAAGAATAAGACTGAAAATGTGTGGTAATATCAAGGAACTAAACTAAAGCTTTAGGTCAAAGGAATCCCTTAAACAAAGGTTTGTGGGTAAAGAAATGGCTCGGGTAGCACCACGCACGTTCGGAAGGTTTAAGTTAACTTGCACCTGTGGGATAAGACTAAGAGTGTCTAATATGCTAAGAATAACGTGTTATGAGGTATTATAATATCACACTGGTCACATGTTAAGCTTTGGAGTCAAGCAAGTTGCGATAAAGGTCGGCAAAAGTTATCGTAAATTTCTCTAATAAATTTTCTAAACTTTGGGACAAATGTATCAGATCATTTCTCCCAATATATAACGAGTTATGGGACCCACAACCTACCGAATCGAAGGTCTACGAGTCTAGTTCCCAACCAAAAAAACCTCACATCAAACCGATATTGGAGTAAAAAGTTATGACTGTTTTATCGCGGACTGTCCGGGCTGAAATCGGGTCGCGAACCAGGTTGGGTCAAACAAGTGGTATAAGTCGGCAAATTCGACTTTTAAGACCTGAAAACATTTCATTTTAGTCCCAAATCAGTGAGCAAGCTGAAGAGAAGGTTCCATGGTGTTCTTGAGAGATTAAGGTACGTTTTTAATGATTTCTATCGTTAAAGTTTGCCCCGTGCCTAGAAACGCAATCTCTACGCTTTGCAATCATTTCCCCCTTCTATTAGCTGTGTTTGGAGCTATTTTTGGAAGATAAGAATTTGTTGTTCTTGATAGTTCTTCAGGCTTTATACTTGTTTTGCCAAGGATATCATCTTGGGACTCTTTTATGATCGTCTTTACAAAGTTCTACGGACGTTTCGTCAAGTTAGGGTCATATGGCAAATCTGCCGATTTAAACTCAATTATGAACTGTTTATAGGTGCGTATATGCTGCATATATATAGTGTTTGCAAAGCTTAGGACGTAAGGAACAACTTTCGTGAAGGAACTACAAGCATTCAGACGTTCGTTGGAGAGGTATGTTAAGGCTAAGCTCCGTCCTTCCTTTTTGCACGAATTCTGGGAAATTCCTAAGACGCCAAATGTGATATTTTACTATTCTATTGCTAGAAAGACCTTCTGTGAAAGGCATTGGGATCGTAGCTGAAGTATTTTCATGATGCTATTAGGTTGATATTCCACTCGTTCGGTTAAATAGGGTATTCGACATCTATATATGTCATTTTGTCGGTTTTCTTAACTATATGTCTATATATATGAATTCTTATTCGTCTTTGGGTTGTATGACTTAAAAATAAAGGCATTTAGTATTTGCTATTAGTTCTTCTTCCTTGTTATAGTGTATTTTAAAATCTCTAAAGTGACACGTCGATTTCCAAAAATCTCAAATATAATTTTTATGTTTAAACTACTAAAACACTTGATTTTTGAAATACTTTCTTTTACTAATCATCAAGAAATCAGGTATAAGGACTAAGTGAAGTACCTTAAGCTTTTTATGAACATCTTCAGATTTAAGTTATCTTTCTAAAAGTCGAGTTAAGTTTTCAAGCCTATTAAAAAAAACATATGAGGTTCCACGAGACAATTGTATGCGATACGAAGGTGATTATGAGATTATGAGAATAAGTGTACCAATGAGCCAAGATTGGCTAAGTTCTTGTTATGGCCTATTATGTGCATTCAAAGTTCATATGATACATGGCATATTATTCGTGGACTTCGAGCTATAATCGGAGGTAAGGGGGCCTATTTTTCCGAAAGACTATATATACTGTACAGATGGCCACAGGTTGGCAATATGATACCGGTTAGCTATCGGGAGAGACCGCCTTTGCTAGCATTTGGTTGGGTATGTCATGCATTTGCATCAATATATATGTATTGACGACATACGATTACGCGAGCATACCATGCATATTTGATTACTATGAGGTCGGATGTCGGCCATGGAGGCTATCAGAGTTTCAGTGTCAGGTGGTATCTCTATTACCTCCAGCACCTGTTGTTCCCCCATCAGAGACCGGGGAGCAGGGGATGAGGGAGGCAGTTCCGTTGCTGACTAGGATGGTTTCTATTCATGAGCGACAGCTAGAGTCGGGAGCAGATACCCGAAGAGATCGGATAGGAAGCTTGACGGTACGAGAGTTTCTTCACTTGGCCCCTCCATTATTTACAGGATCTAGTTCCACTTAGGATCCCCAGGACTTTATAGACCATATGTAGAGAGTATTGAGGGTGATACATGCCTCCGTCACAGAGGCTGTGGAGTTGGCTTCTTTTCGACTACGTGATGTAGCCTTCCTATGGTATGAGGCATGGGAGAGATCTAGAGGACCTGATGCTCCGCCAGCAGAGTGGGAGGACTTCTCTGAGGCTTTTTTAGCCCATTATTTGCCACGGGAGGTTCAGGAGGCCCATCTTGACCAGTTTCTTTGCCCGAAGCAGGGGGATATGAGTGTGAGGGATTTAGCGAGGTATGCACCAGATATCGTACGTACCATGAGGGCTAGAGTTCATCATTATATGGATGGTTTGGGGGATCATCTGATTAGAGACTGTAGGGTAGCATCCCTATCGGATGATATAGATATTTCCCGCATACAGGCTTTCACTTAGACTACAGAGGACCTTTCCCGTCGAATTCGTGATACTCGCAGGGATAGGGAGCAGAGTAAAAGGGCTCGTACTATGGGGTCTTATAGGGAGCCACGGGGTGATTTTAGGCCCCTACTCCATCGATATCCACCTCGGTCAGCAGGTAGTTTCCCACCACAGATGCAGGGCCAGCAGTTTGATCGTTATATTCAGTCAGGACCGGGGCAGAGCTCAGGCCAGCCTGAGGGCCGTCGACAGGAGCATTCCGCACAAATGAGACAGCCTACTCCTCCATGTACTCAGTGTGGTACGCTGCACACCGGGCACTGTAGACAGGGTTCGAGTGCATGTTATCATTGTGGGTAGACAGGACATTTTATTAGCCGGTGCCCGGGGTTAGGCAGAGGTGCACCAGCTCAGCCTTCAGGATCCACAACAGCCTCTTCGCACTCAGTCCGTGCTCCCCGACCAGGTCCACAGTCTACTCAGAACCATGGTAGGGGGAGAGGTAGAGGAGACACCTCAAGTTCTAGTGGTGGTCAGAACCGCTTTTATGCACTCACAGGCCGACAAGATTCAGAGGCATTCCCAGATGTTGTCACAGGTATAGTGACAATACATTCTCATGCCATTTATGTATTGATAGATCCCGACTCTACATTTTCATATATTACTCCATTTATTGCTGGTAAGCTTGACATGAGATCTGAGTTGTTGCCCCAGTCAGTTGAGGTGTCTACACCAGTTGGCGACTCTATTGTAGCGAATCATGTCTATCGAGGTTGTACAGTGTTAATTAATGACCGTCCAACCTTTGTCGATTTAGTTGAATTGGTTATGCTAGACTTCGATGTCATTATGGGTATGGGTTGGTTGGCAGCTTGTTACGCTAATATTGATTGTCGTGCAAAGTTGGTCCGATTTCTTTTTCCTAGTGAGCTTGTCCTTGAATGGAAAGGTAATGCAGCCACGCCCAAGGGTAAGTTTATTTCATACCTTAGGGCTCGGAAGTTTATTGCTAAAGGCTGTATATACCATCTATATAGATATGGAGCCAGCGACTCTTCAGTCGGTTCCTATTGTGAATGAATTCCCGACGGTATTCCTTGACGAGCTTCCAGGAATTCCCCCCGAAAGGGAAATCAATTTTGCAATAGATTTGCTTCCTGATACGCAGACTATATCCATTCCTCCCTACAGAATGGCTCCTGCAGAGCTAAGGGAATTTAAGGAACAACTGAAGGACTTGCTCGATAAAGGCTTTATTAGGCCAAGTACATCCCCATGGGGTGCTCCGGTGCTCTTTGTTCAAAAGAAAGATGGTTTCTTGCGGATGTGTATTGACTACAGGCAACTAAATAAAGTCACTATCAAGAATAAGTATCCTCTTCCACGGATTGATGACTTGTTCGACCAGTTACAGGGTGCCAAATGCTTTTCGAAGATCGACTTGCGATCCGGTTATCATCAGCTACGAGTCAGGGATATTGATATCCCAAAAATAGCATTTAGGATGAGGTATGGCCATTTTGAATTCCTTGTCATGTCTTTCGGGCTTACAAATGCCCCAGCAGCCTTTATGCATCTTATGAACCGGGTATTCAAACCATTCTTGGATGAATTTGTGATTGTGTTCATTGACGACATCCTGATATATTCACGATCGGAAGCCGAGCATGCGGACCACTTGCGAGCTGTATTGCAGACTCTCCAGGACTACAGGTTATATGATAAATTCTCTAAATGTGAATTTTGGCTAACTTCTGTAGCTTTTCTTGGTCATGTTATTACCGGCGATGGTATCAATGTTGATGGACAAAAGATTGAAGCTGTGATGACTTGGCCGAGGCCCTTGAATCCGACAGAGGTTCATAGCTTTTTAGGCTTGGGAGGGTATTACCGAAGGTTTGTGGAGAGATTTTCCTCTATCTCTGCACCATTGACGAAACTGACACATAAGGGAGCTAAGTTTCAGTGGACTGAGGCATGTGAACAAAGTTTTCAGGAGCTAAAGAAAAGGCTTACGACGGCACCTGTCTTGACTCTTCCGGATGGCACCGAGGGTTATGTTGTATATTGTGTTGCCTCGAGAATTGGCCTAGGTTGTGTTCTTATGCAGCATGGTAAGGTTATCGTGTACGCCTCCAGACAGTTGCGGAAACATGAATAGAATTATCCTACGCACGATCTTGAGTTAGCCGCAGTTGTCTTCGCCCTAAAGATTTGGCGGCATTATCTATATGGGGTTCATATTGATGTTTTCACCGACCACCAGAGCCTTCAGTATTTATTTAAAAAGAGGGAGCTGAACCTACGACAAAGAAGATGGCTAGAATTACTAAAGGACTATGATGTTGATATTTTATACGATCCCGACAAAGCTAATATTGTTGCTGCCCTTAGCCGAAAGTCCATGGGCAGTCTAAGCCATGTTGAAGTTGATAAGGTCAAGATGACCAAATATCTATGCCAGCTAGCTAGTTTGCAGGTGCGTTTGGTAGACGCATAGGGTGGACGCATTCTCGTTCAGAATACGGCAAAATCTTCTTTTGTTACTGAAGTAAAAGAGTGACAACACGAGGATCCTGAGATTATAAAAACTGAGGGTAAGTATTCCACACCAGCGACAACCTTTATTTGAGCTAACTGGAGATGGAGTCCTTAGATACCAGGACCGCTTATGTGTATCAACTGTCGGAGAGCTCCACACAAGATTCTTTTTGAGGCCCATTATTCTAGATATGCATTTCACCCCGGAGTGACAAAGATGTATCGGGACCTTCGACAGATCTATTGGTGGAATGGAATGAAAAAAGATATCGCGGAGATGGTAGCCCAATGTCCCAACTCTCAGCAAGTTAAAGCCGAACATTAGAGGCCTGGAGGCCTAACTCAGTATATTGAACTTCCATTATGGAAATGGGACATGATAAATATGGACTTCATCACTGGTTTTCCTCACACTCCACGGAGGTATGATTCTATTTGGGCAATTATTGATAGGCTTACAAAATCTGCTCATTTCCTGCCAGTCAAGACGACATATTCAGCCGAGGATTATGCCAAGCTTTACATTCGAGAGATTGTTCGCCTTCACGGAGTGCCATTATCTATTATCTCTGATCGAGGGGCTCAATTTACAACACATTTTTGGAAATCTTTTTAGAAGGGTCTAGGCACGCAGGTAAATCTTAGCACCGCTTTTCATCCGCAAACTGATGGACAGGCAGAGCGTACTATTCAGACAGTTGAGGATATGTTACGTGCCTGCGTGCTAGATTTTAAAGGAAGTTGGGATGATCATCTACCTCTTATTGAGTTCTCTTATAATAACAGCTTCCAAGTTAGTATTCAGATGGCTCCTTACGAAGCACTATACGGGCGGAAGTGTAGGTCGCCGATCGGTTGGTTCGAGGTCGGGGAAGCAGAGTTGCTAGGTCCTAATTTAGTCCAGCAAGCAATGGAAAAGGTAAAACTTATTAGATACCTGCTGCGTACAGCACAAAGTCGGCAGAAGTCTTATGCAGATGTTTGACGACGAGACTTAGAGTTTGATGTAGAAGATTGGGTTTTCCTGAAAGTATCGCCTATGAAGGGCGTAATGCGATTTGGAAAGAAGGGGAAGCTCAGCCCCAGGTATGCTGGAACGTATAAAATTATTCGGAGGATTGGTAGGGTGGCATACGAGCTTGATTTGCCTTTAGAATTGGAAGTAGTCCATCCTGTGTTTCATGTATCTATGTTGCGGAAGTGCATTGGAGATCCTTCACGTATTACGCCCATGGAGGATATTCACATTGCTGAAGACTTATCTTATGCAGAGGTACCAGTAGCTATTTTAGATCGGCAGGTAAGAAAGCTTCGAACTAAAGAAGTGGCTTTCGTGAAAGTGTTATGGCGAAATAACAACATCGAGGAAATGACCTGGGAAGCTGAGGAGGAAATGAGGAAGAAGTACCCCCACCTATTTACGACTTAAGGTGAGTCGCATTTAAATAATTGGCAATTATTTCTTTACAGCAACTTAATTGGATTTTAAATGACTTGAAAGTGTAATTTAAATTTCTTATTGCGAGATAGCTATACGAAGCCTAGTAGTTGGAATCTTCAGAATTTGATTTATGCTTTGCAATATAACAAATATAGCCTTTCAAATAACGTATTAGCGGAAAAGAAATGAAACCAAGGAATTGACTTGACCCATTCGCGGACGAATGTTCTTAAGGGGGGGAGACTGTGAGACCCCATGTTTTGTTCTTTTTCTCTTACGTAATATACGCAACGTGGCGTGGTTATATTAGGTATATATGATTGGGTGTAGCACATTGGGAGAATAAGAATGAAAATGTGTGGTAATATCAAGGAACTAAACTAAAGCTGTAGGTCAAAGGAATCCCTTAGACAAAGGTTCGTGGTTAAAGAAATGGCTCGGGTGGCACCCGCGTGTTCGGAAGGTTAAGTTAATTTACACATGTGGGATAAGACCAAGAGTGTCTAATATGCTAAGAATAATGTGTTATAAGGTATTATAATATCACACTGGTCACATGTTAAGTTTTGGAATCAAGCAAGTTACGAAATAAAGGTCGGCAAAAGTTATCGTAAATTTCTCTAATAAATTTTCTAAACTTTGGGTCAAATGTATCAGATCATTTCTCCCAATATATAAAGATTTATGGGACCCACAACCTACCGAATCGAAGGTCTACGAGTCTAGTTCGTAACCAAAAAAACCTCACATCAATCCGACATCGGAGTAAAAAGTTATGACTGTTTTACTGTGGACTGTCCAGGCTAAAACCGGGTCGCGAACTAGGTCGGGTCAAACAAGTAGTATAAGTCGGCAAATTCGACTTTTCAGACCTAAAAACATTTCATTTTCGTCCTAAAATAGTAAGAAAGCTGAAGAGAAGGTTCCATGGTGTCGTTGAGTGATTAAGGTGCGTTTTTAACGATTTCTACCGTTAAAGTTTGCCCCCGTGCCTAGAAACGCAATCGCTACGCTTTGCAATCATTTCCCCCTTCTATTAGCTGTGTTTGGAGCTATTATTGGAATATAGGAATTTGTTGTTCTTGCTGGTTCTTCAGGATTTATACTTGGTTTTCCAAGGTAATCATCTTGGGACTCTTTTATGATCGTTTTTACAAAGTTCTACGGACGTTTCGTCAAGTTAGGGTCATATGGCAAATTTGCCGATTTAAACTCAATTATGAACTGTTTATAGGTGCGTATAAGCTGCATATATATAGTGTTTTCGAAGCTTAGGACGTAAGGAACAATTTTCGTGAAGGAACTACAGGCATTCAGACGTTCGTTGGAGAGGTATGTTAAGGCTAAACTCTGTCTTCCTTTTAGCACGAATTCTGGGAAATTCCTAAGACGTCAAATGTGATATTTTACTATTCTATTGCTAGAAAGACCTTCTGTGAAAGGCATTGGGATCTTAGCTGAAGTATTTTTCATGATGCTATTAGGTTGATATTCCACTCTTTCGGTTAAATAGGGTATTCGACATCTATATATGTCATTTGTTCGGCTTTCTTAACTATATGTCTATATATATGAATTCTTATTCGTCTTTGGGTTGTGTGACTAGAAAATAAAGGCATTTAGTATTTGCGATCAGTCCTTCTCCCTTGTTAAAGTGTATCTTAAAATCTCTATAGTGATACGTCGATTTCCAAAAATCTCAAATATAATTTTTTATGTTTAAACTACTAAAACACTTGATTTTTGAAATACTTTCTTTTACTAAATATCAAGAAATCAGGTATATGGACTAAGTGAAGCACCTTAAGCTTTTTATGAACATCTTCAGAGTTAAGTTATCTTTCTAAAAGTCGAGTGATGTTTTCAAGCTTATTCAAAAGAAAAAGAAAACATATGAGGTTCCGCGAGACAATTGTATGCGATACGAAGATGATTATGAGATTATGAGAATAAGAGTACCTATGAGCCAAGATTGGCTAAGTTCTTGTTATAGCCTATTATGTGCATTCAAAGTTCATATCATACATGGAATATTATGCATGGACTTCGAGCTATAATCGGAGGTAAGGGGCCTATTTGCCCGAAAAACTATATATATTGTACAGATGGCCACAGGTTGGCAATATGATATCGGTTAGCTACCGGAAGATACCGCCATTGCTAGCATTTGGTTGGGTATGTCATGCATTTGCATCAATATATATGTACTCACGACATACGATTACACGAGCATACCATGCATATTTGATTACTATGAGGTCGGATGTCGGCCATGGACGCTATCGGAGTTTCAGTGCCAGGTGGTATCTCTATTACCGTTTTTTTCATAAGCTATGTATGATTCTATTTTCTGCCTTACATACCAGTACATTTTTATTCGTACTGATGTCCCGTTGCCTGGGGACACTGCAACTTTGTTTCGTGCGTGCAGGTCCAGGTAGGGACTCTGATCGACCCCTCCGCTAGGATTTCGGGGTTCAACTGTGAGTTGGTAAGCTCCACCTCTTCCTGGAGCTATCATAGGATGGTTACTTTTGTTGTACAGTTTGGGTATAGTCGGGGCCTTATCCCGACAGTGCTTATGACACTCTTAAAGGCTATTGTGGACACAGTATTCTAGGTTTTTTTTGCAATTTTCAGTCTCCAGCCCATAGGCTTGGTATGTATATATATGTGTGTAGGCATGTATGTCTCCAATCGTGGCCTCGTCGGCTAGCTAGTACTTTATTATTTTGGCTCATCTACTTTTGTTTATATGGCTTATTGTTATTCAGGTCATGACCTTAATGGTCCAGGCTTAGTATTTCAGATGTTGTGCTGCCCGATCTGTTGGGGCCCCCAGTTTAGTTAGCTAGTATGTCTAATGGCTAACTCGATCGAATATAGTATCGAGTGCCAGTCGTGCCTCCCCTAGTTTGGGGTGTGACATACTGTAACCCAAATCGGATCCTGATATCCCGTCCTTCTCTTAAACTATATCTGTTAGCCCCCACAGGGCATGATAAAGGAAAGAATCTTTCTTTCTCTCTTTTCTTCTTTCTATATTATATAGATATGTACAACTTTTATCATTAATTTCCTTTATTTCTTTATCTAAAGTAAAGGAAGGGCTCTGAAGAGCCAAGAATATCAAGAAAAATAAAGAAGACCTCTTTTCTTTGTCTTGATTTTGTTTCAAA